ATGACCTCACAGCTCGCAGCAACCTCTTATTCTTGGGTTTAAAAGATTCTCTTGCCTCAACTTCCCAAGTAGCTGGGACTAGAGGCACCCGCCACAATGCCTCGCTATTTTTTTCCTGTTTTTTTGGTTGTAGTTGTCATCATTGTTGTTTGGGGGGCCTGGGCTGGATTTGAACCTGCTAGCTCTAAAGTATGTAGCTGGCACCCTAGCCACTTGAGCTACAGGTGCCAGGCCATTACTTTATTATTTCTAAACCACAGATGCAAAATACATTTCTCAGACCTAGCAAGGAAGGAGATTATGTGTTTCATTATTTTATGAAATACAAGGATCCATCATACAAAATCATATAATGCAGGCATCCTCAAACTGCAGCCCACCTAGGACATTTATCGGGTCTGCTGGGTGTTTTTGCTGCTGCTACTTGTCCTGCTTAGAAGCCGACTCGTCCTGGGGCCCGCAGTTTGGCCCTCCAATGGTCTGAGGGACAGTGAACTGGCCCCCTGTTTAAAAAGTTTGAGGACCCCTGATATAATGAATAAGTTTAGGACCTGTTACATGAGAAGCATGTTATATGACATCTTCAATTAAAATATTGGTAAAAACTAAATATGACACATGATCCAGCAATAACACTCTTAGACATTTATCCCAAAGAGATAAAATTGTACTTCCACACCAAAACCTGTTTTTAGCAGGCTCAGCACCTGTAGCACAGTGGTTATAGCGTCAGCCACATGCACTGAGAGTGGTGGGTTCGAACCCAGCCTGGGCCTACTAAACAACCACTCCAACAGTAAAAAAAAATAGTCAGGTGTTGTAGCTGGCACCTGTAGTCCTAGCTACTTGGGGGTCTGAGGTAAGAAAATTGCTTAGGCCCAAGAGTTTGAAGTTGCTGTGGCTGTGATGCTACAGCACTCTACCCAGGGTGACAGCTTCAGGGTGACATGGTGAGACTTTGCCTCAAATGAATAAATAAATAAATAGCTTGGCGCCTGTAGCTCAGCAGCTAGGAAGCTAACCACACACACTGGAGCTGGAGGGTTCAAATCCAGCCCGGGCCTGCCAACAACAGTGACAACTACAACCAAAGAAAAAAAAAGCCGGGCATTGTGGCAGGTGCCTGTAGTCCCAGCAACTTGGGAGGTTGAGGCAAAAGAATCCCTTAAGCCCAAGAGTTTCAGGTTGCTGTGAGCTGTGACGCCATAGCACTCTACTGAGGGTAACATAGTGAGACTCTGTCTCAAAAAACAAAAACATGTTTATAGTAGTTTCATTCATAATAGTAAAATATTAGAAACAACCCCAAATGTCATGGGTGGATAGCTGAAGAAAATCTAGCACATCCACACAATGGAATATTATTCAGCCATTAAAAAAGACATCCAACAAACTACATGAACCTCAAGGGCATTAAGTTTAGTGAAAAAATCAATGTCTTCATTCTCCTCTGTGTGACAACTATAGTTGTCCCTCAGTATCCGCAATTGGTTCCAGGACCTCTCTGCATGGATACCAAAATCTGTGGATGCTCAAGCTCTTTATATAAGAAGGTACAGAATTTACATAGAACCTATACATATCCTTCCATATACTTTTCTTTTTATTTATTTTATTTATTTATTTTTTTTGAGACAGAGCCTCAAGCTGTCCCCTTGGGTAGAGTGCCATGACATCATAGCTCACAGCAACCTCCAACTCCTGGGCTCAAGTGAGTCACCTGCCTCAGCCTCCCAAGTAGCTGGGACCACAGGCGCCCACCACAACACCCGGCTATTTTTTGGTTGCAGCTGTCATTGTTGTTTGGCCGGCCCAGGCTGGATTCGAACCCGCCACCTTGGGTGTATGTGGCTGGGACCTTAGCCACTTGAGCCATAGGCACCGAGCCTATTTATTTATTTTAGAGCCAGAGTCTCATTTTGTCACCCTCAGTAGAATACCATGGCATCACAGCTCATAGCAACCAACTCCCGGGCTTGGGCCATTCTCCTGCCTCAGACTCCTGAGTAGCTGGGACCACAGGTGCCCACCACAACACCCAGCCATTTTTTGTTGCAGTTTGGCTGGGGCTGGGTTTGAACCCGCCACCCTCAGCATATGGGGCCAGCACCCTACCCACGAAGCCACAGGCACTGCCCCTTCCATATACTTTTCAAGGATGTCCAAGCATCCATGCATACTTTTTTTTTTTTT